CCCCAAAACCCCAAAACCCCAAAACCCCAAAACCCCTTCCCTGCTGGGAAATATTGAGTGTTAATATTGATCTTCATTTTGGTAGAGACTATTGAAAATATAGCCTATAAGCTCTTCTTACAAATGATCTTATTGTTAAGTTTTGATCTATAAAGTTGAATGTTGACTTACGGCCTGTTTGAATACACTAACTTTAAAATGTCTCTCTCAAGGTTCCTAAAAGTAATCATTAAAATTTGTGAATTTATGAATCTAATTTTTAAGATAGATGTGTGAATGAATTTAGCCAGAGGAAATGGAATAATTTGATAAACTCTCTTCATTCTATTTTAGATATTTGAAGGGATCAGATTATGCTATATTGAAACAATACTTTGTTTTGAAGCTCAATCGGAGTCAATAAAATCTTACTTTGAATTGAGAGCCAAGATATTTCCATTCTTCTTCATACGGAGGTGAGTCTATAATTTAGACAGAAAAGTACCAGAACAGAAGGATGTCCTGATGACGAGATTACACTTGGAGTTGGCTTCGATGAAGGAGGGGGAGATGATAGCAGAGGTAGTCCTAAATAAACGTTAAATACATTATCATAGTTTAAATAAATTCATTCTGTTGAAAGCTTATAGATCCAGCCTGAAAATGTACTGCAAAATAATTTTAAATTACTTTTTTTATAAAGTTTACCTATATCCCAATCTGTAGGTTTTCAGTATTTTCCTTTCTTGCTAAATATTTTCTTACTAAATTTTAGATCTTTATTGAAGGTATTTTGTGAGAGGATGTCTGGGCTAAAAACAGGAGGAGGAATATAAGAATCAACACTTTTATCAATGCTCTTTTGGTTTTTCAGCCTTCTAGTTTGAGGTTTTCTTCTCTTTATTCTCTTCAAATTCCGGATTCTCTCTTTATTTGAAAAAGCTTTTTGACCGGGAACTGAAGTTCTTAGTCATAGTGAGTGTTTGATCATGGTACGATACTGGGGAAACTTTTGTAGTAATATCAGTAAGGTTAGTATTCTCCTTTCCAAAATTCAGTCCCTTTGGTGTTCAATTAGTCCAAGCAGCGCTAGATGCACTTTGGTTAACATCAATCCTGGCATAATCTTGCAGAATTTGGCTTGTCCTTAGAATTGAGAGATCAATTTTATTCTTCTTAATTTCAACTGATTTACGATAAATTCTTCTTGAATGAGCATCGCTTTTAAATTTATCAATACGCTTCATTGAATCAGCATGATCTAAAATCAAACTAAAAAATTACTAAATAACTTTATGTCATAATTTCCAGACTGGCTCCTTGGGAATCACTTTGTTTGTTTCCTCAGATACTTGTTAATCTGACTAAGGTTGCTTCCTTGGATATCAATGTTTAGCAATTCGTTAATCCTCTTTATCTCAGGACTTGCTTGGTGGACCAAGTTTATTTCTTTTTCTTCCAAGTTCATTGTGAGTTTTGGGAATTTAGTCTCTATTTTTAAAATATGTTAGATGAGTTTTTCTTGCTGGATTATTCTGGAGAGTCCAATTGTAAATGAAAATGCCTACCATTTGGGTTACTAAACAAATTCTCCTGTGTCTTAGATATAGAAACTTTCTTTTCAGCATCCATTTCGGATGTCTCCTCTACATAAATTTTTCAGAATTTCTTTGGAGAATTTTCTTTTGAAGTACTTTCACTCGGAACTTTTCTTGGATGGTGAAGCGATCTTTTCCTAAATTATTGACATTGAACCTTCATATAAATAGATCCATTGGAAATGTTATTGATCTCAAAGTAGGAATGATATTATACCTGAAGCATATCTTTCTATGAGACTTTCTCTCCATATCATCTTCTAGGAAGATTATTGTAATCCTTACTTAATTTGGTATCAACAGATTCAGTTGAAATGATGTTGTCCTTGCTATGATTCCTTGAGACTCTTTTCAAGTCATTGATATTACGAATATCTCTATTGTATTCATCAGTTGGAATCATTTAAAAACTTATTTTAGAAGAACATGAGTAGCCAAGACTCACTCTGTATTGTTTAGTCGATTTTCTTTGTTATAAGTCTCTCGAACAGAAAAATAATCTAAATTTATTAGGTATTAATTACTTAGAGTTTTGCGTTTTTTCTGCAACCTTGAATTTCTGAGAGGAATTTCTCTTCAACTGTTGTCTATAAAATGAAATAACGATAATAAATTATTATTTTAATTGCAGTTCAAACATCTTAAGCATTCTTCACAATGTGAAAATATTACCTGTCTGCTCTTCGGTGTCTCGCCTATATATTTCTAACCTATCTTACTTCTCAAGGACATCCAGAATTTGGTTGAGATATCTTTTTGAAGGAGCTACAAATTAGTTGTTAAAATTTACTGATGCTTAATTTTTGTTCATATTGGGCATCCAGAAATAATTTAATGAATGATAGGTTAATATTTCTTAATTTATAATCCTTTCTCACTCGTATTTCTTCATTCTAAGTATTAAAATTTTTTATTACTATAAGAGTTGATATGATTTTATTTGCAATGGTCTTCTTTTACTTTTATTCCTTCAACGAGACTCTTATTTAGAATCAAGAGAATTCTCTATATTGGCCTCGTGATTTCCAGAATATATACAGATATTAGAGATTAGGTCAATGGCTTTTATAACTAGCAATTTTCCTATGTTTGTAGCACATTTGACAGATCAGTCGTAAGTGGTAGAGAACTTAATTTTATCTTCAAATGATCTCCTTGTTTTATTTCCTCCTCAATCTTGAAGTTTCTATGATATAAACTTATGAGCTTTACCTTGTTCTTCACTTTTATTATTCTTTGATAAAAGCTTGAATAATTTTAAATGTTCTCTATTCTCTCCAAACATATTGCCAACTCAGTGGTTGGACAAGTTGATTGTAATATTTCGCTTAGCTTTTCATGTCATATTCTACGGATGTTTAAGACAAAGAGTTTACAGCATCAAACTTGTCCACATATTTCTTCAAATTGGGGTCAACTTTACTTTTTGAATTTGGGTCTAATTCATTAAATTCTCCATTCTTTGCTTTATTTCTATAAAGGATGACACTAGGAATTATACATCTGAATATCTTTAAAGCGTTCATGGAATATGGAAAAGTTTTCACTTCAGTCTTGACCAATTCAGTCCTGGATTAACTTGAGTTCTTTCTCTTTATGAGTCTGTAATTCCACAGATCTTGTAGCTATGAATTCACCTTCAGTGACAATGTATATTTCTTCACATTTATCTCCCTGTTTGAAAACTGTATGGTTCCTTTTAAATTCTTTTTCGTTAAAGAAATAGGACACTTTGGTGAGAGACTCTTTATTCCATGACCTGAAGATTGGTAGTAAGTTCAAGAACTTTATCTTCTCGTCTAGTTTCTTCTGGTATTTGCTTCCAAGAATTCTTTTGAAATCATCTTTGTCTAGTACAGCAAAATGTGAGTCTGTCTTTGCACGGATGGTTGATGACCTATTTTTGGTCAGAGATAAGTGCAAGCTCTCCAAATGACGATTGAGGAGGAAGGACAGCTACTTCTTGGTACACATCTTTTAGCTTCTTTACTTGGACCTCTAATGAATCTCTTCCCATTCCACTTCGAAAATTAGTGAGTAATTTTCCTTGTCTTCTTCTACTCAACGCTCTATTTGTTGGAGGTTCGAAAATTTGAGAGTCTTCACGTTTTAATTTCTTCTCAAAATGGGCTCCTGTAGAAGTCAAATTACCTTTAGACATTCTATTTGACGGGGTAATAGACTCCGAGAGTGCCATGCAATGTGATATAAAACTTATCACCCTTATCTCCAAAAGTAATAACATCATAGCCTTCAGGCACAAATTCGTATTTTAGTTTCTTGCTAATGTAAATCAGATCGTCTTCTTCTAAACTCTGCTGTCTGAAAAACTCAATCTTCCTTAACAACGGTAATAACGTATCCTGCTCTTGTTTTCCTTTCGACTGAGGTGAAAGTAGACCCGATGAAAAGTCTGTATTCCTCCTTCTATAAATGGGATTTCTATTCTGCAAAATCTTGATGATATCCTTACAATGCTCTAGTCCTTCAAAACTCTGTATCTTGCCATACTTCTCATCAGGTACTCTGTTAACAGATTTGGGGTATGCTGTCTCCATCTTTTGAGCTGGATGCAAGGAACTACTGGCCCTTATTTCTAAAGAAGGAATCATATTCAAAAGCTTATAATTTTATTCAATGTTAATAAACTTCTTGGGGTTTTGGGGTTTTGGGGTTTTGGGGTTTTGGGG